CTTTGCTCTTGGTGGAGTCTCTCTTGGAAAATGACTTCAAATTCTCAAAAATCCTTAATTCCAGCTTGGACCTTTTACATTATCTTTGGTTCGATATCTCTTGCTGCCTCTATGACAGCCCGACTCACATATACCAACAACCCCAACACTGGATGTGTCTGAAGCAAAATATTATTGAACACCAGACTCTCTTTGCTTCCTAAATTCTGTTTTGGAAAGTGGTGCTACTATTCCCTCCTTTTCCCAGGGTCACAAGCATGGATAGTTTTCATCCAATTGGTCAATATGTTTCTTTCTCATGAGCCAGACATTTACTTTAGTCAGTTATCAAGTCCTGCCACTTCATCATCAACAATAGTTGTCTTCCTCTACTAGACAGCAAGTGTCCCTCAAAAGCAGGGATGATGTCTTATGATCTGTGTATCCCCAGTTCCTAACATTGTGCCTGGATATTTTTAAGCAGGTGGCTTACCAAATGTTTGCTGAATGAGTGAATTATTGAATGACTGTATAGCCTTCGTTCTTGTTTTCCTTGGATCTTATTCTCACTGCTGGAGTTCACTTTGACCATCTGAATGCTGGACACTGCAACAGCATCCTGGCCACTCCTTCCACGCGTCAGAGCCAGAATCAAGCTCTTTGGGGGCTCCTTGGATCATCTCATATTAAAGATCCAATTTGTATTACTTTGTCCTTATGGTCCAAACATTTTTAGACTGTTTCACTTTCCTCCTCAAAAGCTTCATATTCCTTCCCAAATTAAATGAGAACTTTGCATGAGTTTCAAAAAATTCCATTCAGTGGGCATTCTTTTTTCTAGATGATTCATCTCTAATTTTTATTTGAATTCTCTGCTCTAGGCCATTAGATTTCCCAATGGTATCTGAATGTGACTTTTCTGATCCCCCATCTGGGCCTTTCACATGTGCTGGTCCCAAAGCAATGTGCTGTCCTTTCACTTCTCTGCTTAAATACCTGCCTTCAGAATGGCTTGATATTTACTTCCTTTAGGAAGCTTCTGCTGGAATCTAGACACTACTGACAACTAACCAGCTGATTAAGACTCACATGTAGCCTAGTTATTTCTATATATGTATAAAGTTAAGCTTTATCTGCATTTTAAAGTGTTTACTGTGTTAGAACGTAAAATGTTTACACAGTGCAGGCCACTCAGTTCAAAGGAAATTTGACGGGATAGAGTGCACCCGGACTTTGGCATCAAACAAGTGGACTGGCCCAAGTTGCAATGTACCTAATCTCAAGACCTCCGTTTTTTCTCATCTGCAAAATGGGGGTGATAATCATGACCTCCTGGAGTTGCAGAGAATTAAATGTACAGCAGTTGGCCCAGTGGCTAGGAAATGGTAAATATGATATATGGCACCACGTACTAAAATTACCACTGGACTAAAAGTATAAGCCTGAGTTTTAGACCATTTGCTTTACAGAGCAGAACTAGTTCCTGTCTTTTTAATGAGGGAGCATAGAAGAAAGTGACTTATTTCTCCTGCAAACTATCATATACATGCTTAAAGTCTTGGGAAATGAGATCCTTATCTCTTCTCACTTTTAAATATTACAGTATGTTAATTTTTTTCTTCTTTGCTTAAATTAGGTGAACTCGAATTGATTTCACCTTGAAATGTTAATTTTTTTAAAAAAAGTGTAAATTGCCGTTTAATACCCTAAGAATTGGAGTTAAGTACCTAGCTATATCTGTGATGTCTGTCTCATTATACAAGCTGTCTTCTCATTGATAAAAATCAGAGAGATATGTCCACCTTGAGAGTTGGCCAATGCATGCAAAAGAAATTCACTCAATCAATATATGGGCATGTTCTGATGATAGAATCACTGGCTGAAGTCAGAAAGGAAAAGGATGTAATATTTTAACTGTTGATGGACAACATCCTTACACTATGTTGTCAGTGACTTGAGAGTGGAAAGAGTCTAATTTTTTTTGAAACATAACTAAAATGAGACTCTGGAGGGCCTACAGTGTGAGAATATGCTACCAATGAAATCACTGTCTTCTGGGAAGGATAATAACTGGCAGGGTATGGGGCTAGACCCCAGATGTTTGGTTTAACAGTTCACAATTGAGCATGGTAGGTAGTCTCAGAAAATTATAAAATGCCTCTGCTGAACCAGTTACCGGTAAGATTCCACCTACGTATGCACTACTTAACTATCGGCCTACATACTTGAGCCTAAGTAATCTGTCAGCAGAGCGTGTCTGTGACAATAAGAGAATGGCCTTGCTTGCTTAGGATTGTGTGTGGGTGCTGAACATGGCACTTTAAACATAAATTTATGAGGTGCAAACTTTTAATGCAAAGATGACTCATAAGGTTTCAGAATGTGTAAATATGAAGCACAATCTAACTTATACCGTCATCGGTGCTCACCCACAGCAAAACTAGCCTAGGTGATTACCAAGTTGTTTGGACTACCAGGAAATTCAGAAAATTTGCCACTCTTAATAAGTTGACGAGAAAAATTCTTGACTTGATTTTAACATTTGTGTGCACTACCATCTTGAACCAGGGTTATATGTACTTGATCTGCATTTTACAACACTATGTTTGATGACAGCATTCACTTAACTCTATTTCTCTGAGATTGTGAAGAACTCAATTCTCTTGAGACGTTACATTAGAAAACTTAGACAGCAATTGCATAATAAAGTAAAAAAAATTAAATACAGGCAATTTCTCACTTAAGTGTCTGGAATCAGGCAATAAGACGACGGAAAAAGGATCATAACTAAATATTTCATATGGATGTTGAAATAAAACTAAGATTGGTATTTTATTGGATTCATTTCCAATGTTCCTTGTTTCTGAGAGTTTTATCCAATTGCTACAAAAATGTCATGAAGATTTCCTTTAATTGAAGGTAAACTGGTCAAGACTAGACCTTTAACATTATTGGAGTGACAATGTGGAGGCAGATTATTTAGCTGTCAGAAGAATAACCTTGGAAATTGTGACCAAATAGACACAACCAGGAGACACAGAACTGAACACGATGTTGCTTTAATACCTAAAAATTTTGTGGCCCTTAAAAGACAGGAAGAATATGAAAGAATAAAGAAATAATGGAGCTAAATTAACCTATTTCGTTAAGTGGAACCAATCATTATTCATGGGTCCTTTAAAAGTGATTGTGAAAATTTGCTAACCTTATGGATAGAAAAAGATTTGTAAGTTGAATTTAAAAACTTAAAGTTTTTGGATTCTAACTTGAATAAGTTGGTTATAAACTTAAAAAATAAATTTGATTAGCTTTGTCTGCACACAAAAAATAAAAACACCTTCAAGATGATGATGATTATTTTTTTTTAATTTTCATAGGTCAGTAGAAACAAAGCCAGAGAAGAGGTTTTAAAGCTTTAACCTTGCATACTCAAAAAGTAAAACGCTAGCCCTAGCATTTAGCTTTTGATCACTTCTGTGTAAAATACAAATCCTCTTACAGGGTCACTAAGGAAATAGTTAACAGTAAGGTTTTTGAGATTAAACATATTTACAATAAAAATAAATTTCTGGACATTGGATCATTCTTTTAACTCTGGAGGCCCACTTGAGACTCTCACTTAGGAGGACACCCACAGATAATAATGAATAAATAAGCTTGGATTCCCTGAAACACCCACTACCCATGCACACAGCTGGACCATAAGGTGGTTTTTAGTTAAACAGCAGCTACCATATTTGGTCATATGCTTCAAGCTGTTAGAAACACAACACATTTGTTTGATTCTAACTTCAGCTCTTTACTAACTGAATTCATTTCCTATAAGAGACAGACCTCCTAGTTTCATTAGGTTAATACTTTGGTTGACTTTCTTTTGAAGACTCTGCTGTCTTAGGCGAAGTCACAGCAAAATGGGTATTGTCAGTAATACTTCAACATTTGAGCAGCCAACTGAGCAGACCATATGTTAGGAAATTCCTTGCCTGCTTATTAGGTTTTAAGTCTTAAATACCATCAACTGTAATTGTAAAGGTACACTAGATGCTAGTAGCCTCATAATCACCAAATCCTAAAGCTTTTACCCAAGTGGTTTTACTAATTAAAGACAGGTAAAAGCACATTTTTCCCCGTCTTTTGACAGGTTCAGTGGTGGGACTGTGAAAAGAATTATCCCGGCAAGCAGATGTAACCGATATTCACAATAAAACTGTTATAACTTTAAGTGGCCTCAGAGTGGAATGCACTACCACTATGGCTTTATGTCACATCTCACTTCTTTCTGTTAAGAGACCCTGGCTAATCTAAGTCTCACTCACTAACTCTGCTTTCTCTCACCTGTAAGGTGCCTACTCCCATAACACCTTCTGAACACAGAACACACCTAAATGTTAGCTCCTTATTCATCCCAAGTCTGTAACACACTCAGCTTTGTATTTTATCTGAGTGGGATTAGCTTCCATTCAACTAGGCCTTGGGGTCCCCAAGGGCAGGGAGCAGGTCTTCATTTCTCCCGTGGCCTCCACCCTCACCCCAGCAGCTAGCACAGTGCAGACGCATTGAAACTCTGCATTCCTCTACCACACTCGTCAATTGCAACTTCGCTGCAAGGCTTTCTGCTGGTTCTCTACCACAGGTCAGCTCAATTGCATACAATTAGCCTGTAATACTGAGGCCCAATCACATTAACACTTTTACAAATATTAGTGTAAGTGCTAAATCTTAACGTTCCTCTTTTTAATTTAGTTGGTTAGATATGGTGGGTAGTTTTTTAAATGTCTTTGTAAGCTTCCCATAAGTGAGAACAATGTAAACCAAACTTTTTCTGCCAGAGTCAACTGAATACCTATTTGCCAAATAACTTTCTGGAAATAAAGGTAGCTGACAATAATATTTAGTCTTAAGACATAAGCCCCTGGCCCCTAACACCCAGGCCCAGCCCAAATAATCAGGAGGGGAGGCAGAATAGGCTAATATTACCTACTGCGGAAAGTGCTAGGCAGAAAGTTCTATAAACGTCAATGTGTGAGGCACAGAAAATCTTTATTGCCACAGGAAGCAAGTGTACTCGTCCCACCTCACCAACAGCTCTAAGAGTCACAGAAACACAGACTTCACATAATAAAGTACAACACAGACTTGGGGAGAAATGGTCCCTTGGACTATATTGGCTGTAATACTGAGGTAACCAATTGACCTTATTCAGTGAAAATACCTCTAATACAACGAAAAAAATCAACTAGTTATAACATCCAATTCATATATACAATTCAAATAAAAATATATATTATTTGTTTCAATGTATAGCAAGTTTAATACATTAGTGTTTACAAAATAAAAACTATATTCTACTGAAAATTTTCTTGTGCTTCCGCTTTATCACTACGCTCGAAAGACCAGAAAAGTATGATATTTAAGGAAACTTATTCATGGATTTAAAGATGCAGTTTGTGGGGCTATGAAAGATGGATAAATATTAGTTGGAAGATTACTGCATCTTTAAAAATTGTTGCTTATTAAAATCCATAAACTCGAACTCGAAGACAATTAAAAAAACCCACAAAATTTCTCAAAATAGATTAGAATACAGGAAACGTTTCATGAAACTACTGAGATACTAACCAGTTCTATGGCTAATATTAAAAACTCAACAATCTATTTAAATCGTACTCATACTATTTCTACACACAGGGAACGATACAACCACAATAATCAACCTCAAGCTAGCAACAAAGTTGCAAGGTCCATAGAAAGCTTCTTCAGTGGGCAAAACACTATGGTACAATTAAAACATTTAGGAAGGGAAAAAGCCTTTTAATAGTATAAAAGTTGTTTACTGGTGTTTCTACTGTAAAGCTTTTCTACAAATCGAAATGAAAAGCAATTATATATGTGACAGTGATCAGAGACTACAGTGCAGACATTTCATCTAACATTTGGCTGATGAATTTTAGTATAACAGATTATGACAATATTTTTTACACAGTTATGACCTAAAGCAGAACTGAAAACAAAAAAACACATATTCCAAGTCAATACGCTCTTCTTGGCAATATCTGGGTTTAGATGAATCTGGAAGGAAGTAGGTAAAACTGTCAAATATCTTTTCCTCTTAAACCAACAGAAAAAATTAAATTGGTACAAGTGGTATTTGGTTTTTTTTTTTTTTTTTACTACGGATTACAATGTGAAATTCACATAAGTATACAAGTACGTTATTAACATTTAAGCACACCCCCATATATATGCACACAGCCCATTAATTAAATAGGGGGAATCAATACATACTTTCAAGTTAAAATGGGAATTTTTAGAAAAAATTGCATTCACAAATCTGAAAGGTGTACAAAAATGAAACTGTAAAATAAATAAAGAATATAGGTGTCAACTAAACCGTGACAGAAATACGCCTGCACATGTGGATGCAGTGATTGCCCACACTTGTGATGGTCTGGGTGGGAAGACATTCCCCAGGGAGAGCCACCTAGTTCCTCTGACTCTGGTACGTAGAGAAGAATTCTGGATATAAAACGGTACCAACTCCATTACATATTATAGCCTTGCTAACAGTCACCGTCCTGATCACATTTAGCGTTAACCTCCTAAATCTTAATCTATTGAACACATTCTGAAACAGCAACATTTAAGTCAAGCTTTTACACATCAGTCTACTTGTTTCAAGTTCTCTAAGTAATATTTTTTGTTTTACTTCCTATTTTTGTTACATCTTAAGTAGCTATCATATAATGCAATCTGGGTCAACTAGGTAAAAGAGATTTTCTCTGTTGCTCATCTTTTTAACTTTACTCCAATATTTATTAATTGTGTAAATGTGCCTGATTAAGCCAGTAAAAATGACATTTTACTACTAAAAATGACATATTTCTTATTAAACAAAATCAGTGTTATCAAATATTAAATCCACAATATTGTCCTTCGTTTGAGTATTTGCTTTCCGTTTTTCCAAAGTCACTGCAACCTTGCCAATAACTACATCACTTAAACTTTCTTTTTTATGACTGAAAAGATTCTAAACTCTGACACATAATAATATTTATGCTAAATACACTTAAAGTAGACAACGAAATTTCAAGTAAAATAAACTATATCCACATCTATTCGACCGAACAGGTCTCAACATCTAGATTTTACTTCTATAAATTACACAAATACATTGTACATTCTTAAATAACGAATGCTTACAATATTAATTTGTAAGCCTTTCCACATAAAACGATTTACACAGGAATGTGAATAGATCAATATTTCTGTTACAGATTGCAACATTCTCTCAATTTTCTCTTTTGTGGCTGTTCTGTCTTCTTGGTTTCCACAGACCACTGTATCTGTCCTGATGCTTTGGCTATGAAATCTGTTTGAGCTGAATGAGGCAACATTGGTTATTAAGGCTTATTTCTATGATGGAGCATTATCCTTAAATCTGATGCCATTTCCAGAGAACAGTGGGAGAATCACAGCTATCTTGAATCTTCAGGCTCTGTTTTGATGACTTTCTTTTCTAACGTAAAAGCTGAGTGAGGGTAGTCTTTTAAAATCCCAAGGCTCTCTGCATAAAAATAGAAACAAAAAGTCTGTTGATACTTTAAATCAACGGATCACAAAAAAACAACTCAAACAAACTGATAAAACAAACCCCCAAATTCCAAAGCAAACAGTACCAACTATTCATGATTCTGCAATTCCATATAAAAAATTTTATGTTTATAGAATTGCAGTTAAGAGCTTAGATTCTGGATTTAAATTCCATCTCTGCCAATTACTAGCTGTATACACCTCAGGGCAAGTTACAGCCTCTCTAAGCCTTACTGTCTTCATCTACAAAATGGAAAGAGTATCCATATAGGGTGGTGTGAGAGTCAAATCATGAAATGCAAATAAAGCACTTAGCATATAGAACGTATCAATTTTTGGGGCCGGCCCCATGGTTTAGCGCTTAAGTGCGTGCGCTCTGTTACTGGCAGCCCGGGTTCGGATCCCGGGCGCGCACTGACGCACCACTTGTCCGGCCATGCTGAGGCGGCGTCCCACAAACAGCAACTAGAAGGATGTGCAACTATGACATACAACTATATACTGGGGCTTTGGGGAAGAAAAAAAGGAGGAGGATGGGCAATAGATGTTAGCTCAGGGCCGATCTCCCTCACAAAAAAAAAAAAAGAACATATCAATTTTTATTTAATGCTTGGCCCAATATGACAAATAAAATACATAAAACCGGTCACTCATATACAACAAAATTACTGGCTAAAATATTTACTATCAATGAAGAAATGAGACAGAAAAACATCTTTCATGTTTAAACAAGGAACTATTTTTAAAAGTTTCTCTAGCCATGGAACATTACAGTGGGAGAAACAGGGACAAAAGAATGAAGACTCTCCTTTCATGAGGAGTCAATACTTGAAGTTATGTGTGTATTGTTAGTTCAATCTCACACAAACACTACAGAATGACAATAAAATGTAATATTCCCGTGAAGTACTAATACTGGGGGTTACATATACACACACACACTCTGAAAAGGATTCTAGAAAAGTAAGCAATACCAATAGCTTATCTGAAACTAGGCAATTCAATTTATGAATTTACCCTCTCTATATGAAGTGGATTTTAAATTCCGCATAAGAATAATAATAAAAATAGTAGCTACCACTTATTGAATTCCTATCAGCCAGGCAATTCATACATGCTATCTTGTTTAATCCTCATAACTACTCTATGAGTTAGAAATTATTTCTATTTTACAGATGGAGCAACTGACTTGAAGTGACTCCTAAAGTTCCTTTAACTCCAAGATTGAATGATACTAGATTCTTTCAAATGGTGTTGGTCTCTAACACTTTAACTTTGTCTAACTTACTTTACTTGGGTAAAAATATGTAAACATCTATCTATAATAAGGAACAGCTTATCCTTTTATGGAGGAGTTCAGTTTACTTTTGAGATATGAATATCATCCCCAAAATGCATCTGCATGAAAAGTTTAGATTTTGGTACAGAAGGTTTTCTTACCATGAGAGCAAATATGTAACCCACCAATTTCATATTATGAAAGGCCAGAAAAAGGCAATTACATAACTCAAACCAGCCATTTATTATTTGGCTTAAAATTCTGTATAAAAGTCACTATTCATGTAATAGCTAATCAAAATAATCTCAACCTTCATGAGTTTTTCCCTGTCAATTCTTTGGATACCATGTTCATAAAGACTGGCTATTATTATGGCAATCTATTATTTCCAAGGCAAGAAAAACTGACTAGTAACATGGTTAGTAATGACCTTTTTTGTGGGGGACACAGTGGGAGGTAGGAGAACAGAATTTAAAGATGCTTTATTCGAGTGTTACTCTCTCTAATCATATAGCACATTCTCACCTGACGAGTGGGACTTTGCCTCACTGGGGTAAAGTCTACTCAGCTCCCCATCCACCACAAAATGATGGGGCTGTCTGTTCTGTAAATTAGGCATTCGGAGATTCAAAGGTCTTTCTCCTAATGAAAACGAGAGAAAAAAAAACCCAACATGAATAACATTAAAAACACACCATGGTTTTTCTTAAAAACAAGTTTTCACAAACTGCCTAAACACTCCTTAGGAAAGAAGTAAGGACAGTCAATAGGCACTGAAGAATTTAAATAATAGTTGGAGAAATATTTTAAATAATAATTGAGGAGGAAAATGGCAATTTGTGCTAGTCCCAAGGTTTACAGTTCTGCCTGGACATTTTTAAACGCTAAACATGAACTAAACAAAAGACTGATATTTCCAGTAAGCACTCCAACTTTGGCATATAATACATTCCCCCCTGGAAGGCAGTTTCTTACCAGTGGAACCATTTTACCAAAGCATGTCATTAACCACATAATAACAAATACTAGAGAGACAGAGATGGCTTCGAGCCAACTGTCTATTAATAAAAATAACAACAAAACCTATGGCAAATCCATGAAAAAACAGAATTAGCACAGATACAGTAAAAAATGCTTTATACACCACATCATATTCTTTGTCATAAACCTAAATCTATCACACTTAGCAAATTGCCACCCCACACCGAATTATCCCGGTGTCACAAATCAGAGTCATCAAATCTTTCACTAATGCCTTTGCTTCTTAACTCTTAAGTCTTACCTGTCAAGGATGACTGGGGAAGTTAAACAAGACCTCAACTAAAAAGCTTCTGTAATATTTAAAAAAGGAAGAATGTTCTCCAATACTCTGATCTGCTGACACGTAATATTTCACTCTAGAGCTGGAGAATGCTGGCTAGGATGGTATTCTTACTTAGAAAGAAATCTTATTTTTTTGACAATAATAACCACTCTCTAGAAAAGTATAACAATAATATATAAAAAAAAGAAGGTTCTACAAAATTATTGTTTTTCTTCACTTATCACTCTTTGAAACCAGAGGATACATTTCTGCACTTATATGCTGCACACCTTCCTCCACTGGAGTATAAGCAGCAAGTGAGAAGGGTCTATGTCGCGTTCACTGCTGCATCTTCAGTGCTACCACAACTGTGCCTGGCACACAGGAGACACTAAAAAGATGCGTTGAATGAGTGAATGACAATGACTGGAGATTTTATTCATGTGCAAATACCAAAAAGTGAAATAATTTTTTAAATCGTAAAAATATCCATGAATCCTAGTTTTCTAAACCTAAGAGTTTAGTATACACCACATGAAATATTTTCATAGGGTCTGCAGGCCAATGTGAAACCTGGAAGAAGACAAAATTTCTTCAAGTCTCTCCATTCGTATACCATCTCTTCAAATCTCTGTATTCTTGTCACAATACTTTAGAAGCAGTTACCATATTCTCTTAGGAACCAAATGTTATAAATTTCACAGACAAATCTGTTTTTGAAGTCTAAAAAAATACAAAGTTTTGATCTTTTAAAAAATGATAGGGGCCAGCCCTGTGGCATAGTGGTTAAGTCTGGCGTGCTCCACTTCAGCGGCCCAGTTTTACAGGTTCGGAGCCCGGGTGCAGACCTACACCACTCATCAGCCATGCTGTGGCAGCGACCCACATACAAAATAGAGGGAGACTGGCACAGATGTTTGCTCAGGGCTAATCTTCCTCAAGCAAAAAAGAGGATTGGCAACAGATGTTAGCTCAGGGTGAATCTTCCCCATCAAACAAACAGACAAAAGTGATAAACATCTCTCATGGAATCTGTTTCTTTGGGAAAAACGATCTCTACTCTTTACACATCTCTCATTCCCACTCACCCTTTACAAAATACATGTCAACTGCACGTGCCAGCTACTGTTTAGGGATAATAAGGTAAAAAAAAAAACAAAAACTTTACAAATTAAATTTGTAGGATGAATTCTTTCATTTTTTGAAAAAGGGACAATTTAAAAATTAATTTTGATAGAGAATCTATAAAACAAACTCTATAAAATATCAAGATTTAAAAATCAGCAAATTCTTGTTTCTCTTTAAAGTGCACATAGTAACTGGCTCTAAAGGTGTAGGATTTTCCAGAGAGGTACCTTGTCCCTCAGGGTTATCAGAAGTCAAGCCATTAGGGCTGTGCTCTTCTGAGCTTTGCCTGTAAAGCCCTGCAGATAGTCTCCTTTCAGCATGCTGCAGTCTCTCATAGCCAGCTTGGGTGCAAAGGAACTCCATCTGCTTTCCCATCACCTTTTCAGGCTGCTATAAGTAAAGCAAAAATAAAATCAGTAAATAAAACATTCTAGATTTTTTAATGGTTTAAAGATGCCAATTTCAGACTCCAGCAAACATATTTAGTATTCATTAAAATTAGTTTGCAGTTCATGTGGGATACATGTTCCATAAATATGCACAGATGTCTATATCATGTTAAAACATAAAATGTTGGATTTTGTACAAAAAAAAATCTTTCTGCTCAATCCTATAAAGAGAATTCCATTTCAGCTCAAAGCAAAATAACCTTAGCTTTGTTTTTCAAGGTACTGAGTCCTTTAAAAGATTTTTTTAGAAAGGACCCTCAGAGCAACAGCAACATCTGCTATAAACTGCTTCTAACGCATAAGGTGAGATCTTGGCATTTTTATTTTAGGATTTGGCACTACACAGATTCTGATATGATGACAGTATGTTTGGGGGAGAAAAGGTGTAAAACGGCTGTCTAGAAGAACAAGACAAACACACCTCCTACTAAAATTAAACAATGCAAATTATGCAGAAAAACATCAGTGCCAATGCAGATCTTCACCTTCATCATGGAATGAAACTGCAGTATTTTCCAACCAATCATAAAAAAACATGTTTTAAAATCCACAATTAGTTGGCTGACATATAAATTTATCTCTGCATGTGTTTTATAAGTTCCTTCCCTATGCATGGCTCTAAATTACTTATACGTGATATTCAAAGCAGCGCACTTGTGAAATTTTGCCAAGGAGGTAATAGTCAAAATGCAGATATGAATCACTACCATGCTATATAAAAGAGTAGTACAAGTAAGCTGCTATATAAAATTAGTTAGAAAAAAATCCCTATTCACAATAGTAAAAACCAATAGGTAAAATATATTAATTCACAGAACAGAATAAAAGCTTATACTATTTTTTTGAACACACATAAACCAGATCAAAAGCAACCATAACTTCAATTCATTTGAACTTGTTACTTATTAATTGATAAAATTTCAATAAGATTTCCAAGGGGGAAATGTATTTTTTATCCTCTTAAGGCGAAAAAACAAAACTTGGCACCACTAAATTTGACCAAAAGCAGTCACTAGGGAAAAGAGCAACAGGAATAAAACTTACAGCGCTTTCTAAAAGGTGATGCTTGCGGAAAGGACTTTTTATTTTATTTTTTATTTTTTTGTGAGGAAGACCAGCCCTGAGCTAACATCTGATGCCAATCCTCCTCTTTTTGCTGAGGAAGACTGGCCCTCGGCTAACATCCGTGCCCATCTTCCTCCACTTTATATGGGACGCCGCCACAGCATGGCTTAATAAGCGGTGCGTCAGTGCGTGCCCGGGATCCGAACCAGCGAACCCCGGGCCACAGGAGCGGAGCGCGCGCACCTAACTGCTTGCACCACCGGGCCGGCCCCAGAAAGGACTTTTTAAAACATTAATTTCAGCATACACAATTAAATAACTTAATAGCAAAAGCACCTGAAGCTACATATTAATTTAACAATTAATGTTAATTATTTTCACTTAACAATTAATATGTTAAATCATTATATGTGAAATAAATCATAACTATAGCTACAATGTTGACTATTGATACTTTATTGAGAACAAGTACTATTTTATTTTATCTCAGAATTGTATTACACACAGCTATAATCAACACGGCTGTTTCCTGTACCAAATTGCTTCTTTTGAGTTTTCTTGAGAAGGGAATCTGTCTTACTTCCTACAAAAGTACAAAGAATAAATAAGTATCACTGTATCAGATTCTGCTCATCACCCAGATCAAACCAAGCTGTTACTGTTATCTTGTTTATACAGCTGTGGGTCAGGTGACATTTTAAAAACCACCAGAAATAAATTCAGTCCTTGGATGCTTAGAACTGTAGCTAGTTGAAGCAGCCATTTATTTTCAACCTATAGATATTATTACGAAATATTAACTGGTGGTTCCTGTTACCTGTGAACTAAGAGCAGCGAGTTCTTCACTCTTGGCTTTAGCCTGCTGGAAGAGTGTCTGCATGGAGTCCTGGAAATCTGGAAACCCATCCTGTGGGTCAAAGAATAAGTCCTTTTTACTTAGTGTTTGTACCTAAAACAACCATATTATCAAAAACTCAGAAAATAAAGCAAACTACCATAATCCTACTACCAAAGTAATCGTGATTAAGAATTTAACGTATAATATTTAATTTCAGTCTTCTATGGTACAATTACCTTATTTCTACAGTTGTAACCTCAGTAAAAACACAAATGAAAAAGATGAAAAAATTTATACAGCCATATTGTTTTCATTGGAATGCAAACCACACGATCACTGATAATAATGGTTATAAACATTTCATATAACGTTTCATCTAGCAGTTTGATATTTAATCACTAACCTCATACTGGACATGTAGATTCTTTTCCTTAATTTTGGTTTTATGAAAAACACTGCAAAAATATTTTCATGGAAATAGCATTTTCCATAGTTTAGATTATCCAATACAATAGTTCCCAGAAGTAGAAATATTGCAGAGGGATGAACATTTTTATGTCTTGCACATACTTTCCCCAAGGGCCTTTACTGGTTTATCATACCATCAGCACTATATGACAGTTTTTTTGCCAGCACTGGGTGGTGTTGTTTTCTTAATTTTTGCCAATTTATATTTTAGTTTTGATATTCAAAAAACTTTGTAATTTTATATATTGTAGTTGGATATACTTATAATTTATTTTGTGATTTCTTCTTTTGCTATAAAGCTATAAAGCTTAGAAAGGCATTCTGCTTTAGAGATTTGATAAGTACTCAAATCTACCCTCCAGTTTTTCTAAACCTTTATTTTGTTGTTTGTTTTTTTAATTTAACTCTCTAATTCATCTGGATTTATTCTGTTATATATAATGTGGTAAAGATTCAAAGTAAATTTTCTTTAAAGTGCTATTCAATAACCCTAATCTGAATTTCTGAAGAATTCTTCCATGTTGACTTGTGGTTTCTCCTCTGCTGTATCATGGGACAGGCAACGGGGCTTTGGAATCAGAAAGATCTGTATACACGTGCCAACTCCACCACTTTTGAGCTATGTGATGCTGGATGAGTAACTTAACCTTTCTGAACTTTAGTTTCCTCATATCAAAAATAAGGATAAGAGAACCTATCTATTAGGGTTGTTGTGGGGACCAAGTGAGATAGAGCAAATGAGATATTACCTTTAGCATGAAATAACTGCTGAATAAATTTATCAATATTACTAAATTGTTATTTCAATAGAGCCCATTTGGGGAGCTCTACACCTGGACAACACTTCAACTTAAATTATTTCTGTTTCATACCTTATATACATTAGTGCCAATCCATCTATTACTTTTTTCAAGTTTCTTCTTTCCGCCTGTTTATAGCTTCACACAAAACTTATAAACTACAAATATCATGATGGGGATTTTTCCCCACCAGGGTCTTTTCAAAAAATTATTTTTCCACTGCAGATCTCATGTTTTCAAATACTTCATCTACCAAAATTCATTTCCTAAGTAATAATTAATTTGCCACTTTTTTTTTTTTTTTTTGCTGAGGAAGATTCTCCCTGAGCTAACAACTGCTGCCAATCTTCCTCTCTTTTTGCTTAAGGAAGATTAGCCCTGAGCTAATATCTGTGCCAATCTTCCTCCACTTTGTATGTGGGTGACCACCACAGCATGGCTGACAAATGGTGTAGGTCAGCACCTGGGATCCAAACCCACAAACCCAGGCTGCCAAAGCAGAACATGCCAAACGTAACCATTATGCCACGGGGCTGGCCCCGATAATCTGCCATTTCTTAAAGTTCAAAGACATGAAATAAAATAGAGTCAGTAGCAAATAAATGTTACATCTTTACATCTTGAGATAGTCTTATGTAGCTTTATGCTGGGTCTAGTATAATCAGCATTTTTAAAGTATTGAAAAGAGCCACCTTTCTAGGCCCCAACAAGACCAATGACCTTTGGCTCAGAGGAATGTATAGAATATAATCATTAGCTGAGCTAGAAGGAACTTTATACAGGTGTACATACTCTAAATCTAAATGAAAAGTGCACTTTTTCTTAGTCATTCCATTGTTCTCCTAAGAACTTATGTAGACCTAAAAATCCAACTTTCTCTTTAGCCAACTCTCCTTTAAGTTCTAAGTTCAATGCGGTAGGCTAGATAGAAGACTTAGAAAACAACATCAGTGAGAGCAGCTACCATTTTTCAGTGCCTACTATGACCTGGCTCCTGCCTATGTTCTGTATTTTACATTTTTATCTCATTTAATCCTCACACAAACAACCCTGGGTTTCCCTCATTTTACAGCTACAGACAATGGCTTCCAAACCTATGCTCGAACCATAAAATCCCAGAGTCACCACCTTTATGAAACTCACAACAGTAAACAGAGGCATTTCTCCTACAGCTCTATGTCATAAGCTGAACTGGTTTAACTCTATGATTTGCACTGAGTTAAAAATCCAATTCTACTACTTATTTGCTGTGATACTGGAATGATTGTTTCATCTTTCTGTGTCTGTTTCCTCATCTGTAAAATGGGGATAACAAGAGTACCACAGTACTTGCCACATAGAAATTGCCCAATAAGTGTTTGTTACTGATATTTATTAAGTTCACTCAAAAAGCCATCAGATTTAATCTGAGTAAAAAACAGCATACTATGAGTGACTTACTACATCTCTGTGATACAGGGGAATAAAATAAATTTTAGGGATATTTACACAGTACAAATGAGCAGGAACTAGGCATTTAACACTAAAACCAGCAAGACAACATTGACTATACTGGTGAGGAACTGTTTTAGTGGAAAAACAATGGAAATCTGGAAACACTTGTTTATTCATTCAACAAAAAGATCTTGTTTGCCTAACAGGTTCTATACTCTACTCAGTGCTAGAGAGACAATGAGTCCTGCCATTCTGACAAATACAGTCTAGAGAGGGAAACGGACAAAGATCCAGTGCACAGCGGAGGACCTGACGCTTCCCAGAGGGCATTCCGTCTTGGCTGAGACTTGAAAGAAGAGAGTTCTCCAGGGAAAGGGAGCAGTTTATATAAAGGCCTGGAGGCAAAAAGAACAGGATATTCCTGCGAAGCTGGAAAATATTTAACACAGGGAATACCCCGAGAAAGAGGGAGTGGTGAGAGAAGCTGCTGACGCAGGGCCAAATTCTGTGAGGCCTGGTAAGCCACGTACGGAATTTTAGATTTTATCTTGAATGCAAAGAGAAGCCATTGCAGGTCTCAAGGAAGAGGCTAATCAGATCCACACTAGAAAGCCCAACCTGAATGCAACGGGGACAGGATGGTGGTAGGGAGACTGATTAGAGGGCTATGGTGAATAGAGGGCCACAGAATAGTGGCCTAGCCCCAGATGGTGGCAGATGCAACAGAGAAATACAAGAATTCCTGAGATGTGGCTTTGGCACCCAAGGGTTTGGTGGTAATATTCACTAGAATACGGAACTGAGGACCAGGAAGTTTGAGGAGGAGCAGAAAGTTGATGATTCAGTTGGAGACATGTCAAGTCTGATCTGCTGGTGAGACCTCCGTGTATGTCATCAGGTCGGTAGGCAGGTACACTGACTTTGGAGCCTGGGGCAAGATCAGGGCTGGAGAACCAGACTAGAGAGTCATTAACAGGGCCTGAGTGGACTGTGCCCAGACCAGAACCCCCGGGAGCTCCAAATCTCAAAAGTGTTCAGGAGCTTGCAGAAGGAGAACACAGTGATCTGGTCTTCTCATGTTAGGAACTAGATGTGCGCTCTCAGGCAAGAAAGTCAGCCTCATTATTTCCAGAGTTCCCAATTTTTAAACGGAGATTAAACCATCTGCTTTATGTGCCAAATGGAGATCTGTGGGGATTAAATGAAGTAATGCAAATGGTAAATCTTGGAAAAGTACATACTGCTATACAAATACAGGGTGGCACCACCGTCAGGATCATTCAACCATGAGAATATGGAAAAGCTGGAAGGGGGAACTTCAAACTCTACATGTGAAAGGTTTTGGAAAATGGACACTGCTCCATCATTAATAAAGAGAAATAAAAGCATGCAATAAGCAGTAAATAACAATATCGAAGTAATTAGTGGTCTCTCTATAACTGAGTATGTTAGTCATCCTGATTTTCCCCACCAGTCTTTGACAGCTCATCATGAACAGGAAAACTACAGGACTGAGCAGCTATCACTTCATGACATATAAAGCAGGTTTTAAGTACCCAAAATATATGACTTAGAAACAGAAGTGAGAACATTCCCAAGAAACTGGTCCCTTGCACATTATATTTGGTGGAGGACTTTTGTTATACGTCTCTCAAGCTTTTTTCCCAGGAACCAGCTGTACCATGCTATGAGCAATTTATCTTCATGTCACATTCTTGGCTGCTGCCATTAATCACTGTGTTCCCTTACTGGCGAGAGTCTGAGCACTGACAAAATAAAGGATATAGGGTGGGATGCTGTTCATGACCTAATTACTCTCATCCCATTGGTCTCCACCCCCATTCCTCCTCAACCTTCTCACCAAATACTAGCAAGTTGCTTTAAAGCCACTGCTTGGCTGTCTTTAAAATGACTTGTTGCAGCAGATGTTCTCAGCCTCACACGTGCATTTTCCTTTTCTCTCTCACACTTTCTATATGAATAGCAGACTGTAATACTTCTGTTTTTCTGGTCCAGAGGTGAACACTCTACATCAAATTAGACCAGCTTTCTTTTCAACAAGCTTAGTAACAGCGTAGGTGGATATTCTGACCCTCTTCCCTCCCGCTTCCTCACTACCCCCAACCACCCTCTGGAACTGCTAACAGATGTTTCCTCTAAGTCTTTCTTCTTCAAGCCCCAATTCTCTGACTTTCTGGTCTCTATTAACAAATTTCATTTCTCTCATCCAGTTATCTCTGATTGCTTTGCACTCCCAGCCCACACAGGATCAAGAACACTGTCACCTCCCATCTCTTTGCTGAGTCTCCAGGATTTCAGTGAAGGAAGAAAACTTACAGATGAGATCAGAACAGTAAGAGCCCATTC